TCAGGTCTCCTCACACACTGCTGGTGTGTTGAATTTTTTGACATAGGGTGCTGGCAGATTACGGGCCTCCTATAGCTGCTGCCAGGCCCCTAATCTGCCATGGGCCCCTATATACCGCCTCCTCATGCTGCTGCCAAGTCCAGAGTCTCTCATGGGTCCCTGTACGGCCTCCCATTGCTGCTGTCTCCATCGCCACACTCTGCCATGTGCCACTTTCAGGTCTCCTCACACACTGCTGGTGTGTTGAATTTTTTGACATAGGGTGCTGGCAGATTACGGGCCTCCCATAGCTGCTGCCAGGCCCCTAATCTGCCATGGGCCCCTATATACCGCCTCCTCATGCTGCTGCCAAGTCCAGAGTCTCTGTCATGGGTCCCTGTACGGCCTCCCATTGCTGCTGTCTCCATCGCCACACTCTGCCATGTGCCACTTTCAGGTCTCCTCACACTGCTGGTGTGTTGAATTTTTTGACATAGGGTGCTGGCAGATTACGGGCCTCCTATAGCTGCTGCCAGGCCCCTAATCTGCCATAGGCCCCCTATATACCGCCTCCTCATGCTGCTGCCAGGTCCAGAGTCTCTCATGGGTCCCTGTACGGCCTCCCATTGCTGCTGTCTCCATCGCCACACTCTGCCATGTGCCACTTTCAGGTCTCCTCACACTGCTGGTGTGTTGAATTTTTTGACATAGGGTGCTGGCAGATTACGGGCCTCCTATAGCTGCTGCCAGGCCCCTAATCTGCCATGGGCCCCTATATACCGCCTCCTCATGCTGCTGCCAGGTCCAGAGTCTCTCATGGGTCCCTGTACGGCCTCCCATTGCTGCTGTCTCCATCGCCACACTCTGCCATGTGCCACTTTCAGGTCTCCTCACACACTGCTGGTGTGTTGAATTTTTTGACATAGGGTGCTGGCAGATTACGGGCCTCCCATAGCTGCTGCCAGGCCCCTAATCTGCCATGGGCCCCTATATACCGCCTCCTCATGCTGCTGCCAAGTCCAGAGTCTGTCATGGGTCCCTGTACGGCCTCCCATTGCTGCTGTCTCCATCGCCACACTCTGCCATGTGCCACTTTCAGGTCTCCTCACACTGCTGGTGTGTTGAATTTTTTGACATAGGGTGCTGGCAGATTACGGGCCTCCTATAGCTGCTGCCAGGCCCCTAATCTGCCATAGGCCCCTATATATACCGCCTCCTCATGCTGCTGCCAAGTCCAGAGTCTGTCATGGGTCCCTGTACGGCCTCCCATTGCTGCTGTCTCCATCGCCACACTCTGCCATGTGCCACTTTCAGGTCTCCTCACACTGCTGGTGTGTTGAAATTTTTTGACATAGGGTGCTGGCAGATTACGGGCCTCCTATAGCTGCTGCCAGGCCCCTAATCTGCCATAGGCCCCTATATACCGCCTCCTCATGCTGCTGCCAAGTCCAGAGTCTGTCATGGGTCCCTGTACGGCCTCCCATTGCTGCTGTCTCCATCGCCACACTCTGCCATGTGCCACTTTCAGGTCTCCTCACACACTGCTGGTGTGTTCAAATTTTTTGACATAGGGTGCTGGCAGATTACGGGCCTCCTATAGCTGCTGCTGCCAGGCCCCTAATCTGCCATAGGCCCCTATATACCGCCTCCTCATGCTGCTGCCAAGTCCAGAGTCTGTCATGGGTCCCTGTACGGCCTCCCATTGCTGCTGTCTCCATCGCCACACTCTGCCATGTGCCACTTTCAGGTCTCCACACACTGCTGGTGTGTTGAATTTTTTGACATAGGGTGCTGGCAGATTACGGGCCTCCTATAGCTGCTGCAGGCCCCTAATCTGCCATAGGCCCCTATATACCGCCTCCTCATGCTGCTGCCAAGTCCAGAGTCTGTCATGGGTCCCTGTACGGCCTCCCATTGCTGCTGTCTCCATCGCCACACTCTGCCATGTGCCACTTTCAGGTCTCCTCACACACTGCTGGTGTGTTGAATTTTTTGACATAGGGTGCTGGCAGATTACGGGCCTCCTATAGCTGCTGCCAGGCCCCTAATCTGCCATAGGCCCCTATATACCGCCTCCTCATGCTGCTGCCAAGTCCAGAGTCTGTCATGGGTCCCTGTACGGCCTCCCATTGCTGCTGTCTCCATCGCCACACTCTGCCATGTGCCACTTTCAGGTCTCCTCACACTGCTGGTGTGTTGAATTTTTTGACATAGGGTGCTGGCAGATTACGGGCCTCCTATAGCTGCTGCCAGGCCCCTAATCTGCCATAGGCCCCCCCTATACCCGCCTCCTCATGCTGCTGCCAAGTCCAGAGTCTGTCATGGGTCCCTGTACGGCCTCCCATTGCTGCTGTCTCCATCGCCACACTCTGCCATGTGCCACTTTCAGGTCTCCTCACACACTGCTGGTGTGTTGAATTTTTTGACATAGGGTGCTGGCAGATTACGGGCCTCCTATAGCTGCTGCTGCCAGGCCCCTAATCTGCCATAGGCCCCTATATACCGCCTCCTCATGCTGCTGCCAAGTCCAGAGTCTGTCATGGGTCCCTGTACGGCCTCCCATTGCTGCTGTCTCCATCGCCACACTCTGCCATGTGCCACTTTCAGGTCTCCTCACACTGCTGGTGTGTTGAATTTTTTGACATAGGGTGCTGGCAGATTACGGGCCTCCCATAGCTGCTGCCAGGCCCCTAATCTGCCATAGGCCCCTATACCGACTCCTCATGCTGTGACATTGCAACAAGGTGGAATTCAACCCTACATATGTTAGACCGCCTTTACGAACATCAAAAGGCCATCACAGATTTCCTGATGTTAAAAGCGGATAAAGGTACTCCCTGTGTAACTTAGATGTCAGCCATTGGCAGCTCATGCGTGACACCTGCGCTTGCTCAGGCTCTTTGAGGAGGCCACGCTATTCGTGAGTCGGCAGGACTATGGGATGAACGACATCATTCCTCTGTTGCACGTCCTGGAACAAATGCTGTTAACAATGGCTGGTCAGGGTGCGGTAGACGTGGCGCACAGATCTCAACGCCACATGACCCCTGTGGGGGCAGGACAGGAAGAAGAGAGGAGAGGTAGAGGAGGACATTGGTGCTCAGGAATTATTGAGTGAAATGGGTGTTTTTTTTTCCACTCAGCGGACAGGAGTGGAGGAGCAGGAGCATCTGGTAGAGGAGGAGGAAGAGGAGACAGAGGACCCAGACGCACCGTGGCAGTATGCTGTGGAGATGGAGGCAGGGAGTCCCTCGCATTCCTTGGCACAAATGGCCCATAGCATGCTCGGTTGCTTGCGTAGCGACAGCCGAATAATAACCATCAGACAGAGGGATGACTTTTGGCTGTCCACCTTGTTGGACCCTCGCTACCGTTCAAAAATGGTGGCCTTTTTCACACCTGCTGAGAGGGAGGCCAAAATAACGTACTATAAAAACCACCTATGTAGTCAGCTGGTCTCTGCCTGTCTGCGCCAACGTCCATCCTCAGACACTGTGGGCCCTGTGCGCTCGCGTTCCGCTGCCATGGCAGCAGGGGAGGGGGGGGGTGGTAGGAGCAGTGGCAGCTCCACCAGCAGCGGCTGCCTCAGTCTGCAGTCGATCGATGATGAGTAGCTTTCTTCACCAGCGCAGTGAGGAAACTAACCAGCCGCAGCAGCAGCAGCAGCAGCAGCAGCAGCATCAGGTGGACCTGGAGCAGGACCTCAAACAACAAGCTTAGGCCTACTTGGACAGCACCCTGCCAACCGAGGTAGACAATCCCCTTGACTACTGGGCAACGAAACTTGACCTTTGGCCCCAACTAGCTGAATTTGCCCTTGAAAGGCTGTCATGCCCGGCCAGTAGCGTGGCATCGGAGCGCGTGTTTAGTGCGGCAGGAGGTATTGCAACTCCGCGGAGGACACGACTGTCCACCCAAAGTGTGGAGAGACTCACGTTTGTGAAAATGAATCAGGCGTGGATTAGTCTGGATTTCAAACCACCAGTTCCTGACACAACTGACTAAATCCGCCATGAATCATGCCCCAAACATGTGCCACTTTCAGGTCTCCTCACACTGCTGGTGTGTTCCATTTTTTGTCATAGGGTGCTGGCAGATTACGGGCCTCCCATAGCTGCTGCCAGGCCCCTAATCTGCCATGGGCCCCTATATACCGCCTCCTCATGCTGCTGCCAAGTCCAGAGTCTCTCATGGGTCCCTGTACGGCCTCCCATTGCTGCTGTCTCCATCGCCACACTCTGCCATGTGCCACTTTCAGGTCTCCTCACACTGCTGGTGTGTTCCATTTTTTGTCATAGGGTGCTGGCAGATTACGGGCCTCCCATAGCTGCTGCCAGGCCCCTAATCTGCCATGGGCCCCTATACCGCCTCCTCATGCTGCTGCCAGGTCCAGAGTCTCTCATGGGTCCCTGTACGGCCTCCCATTGCTGCTGTCTCCATCGCCACACTCTGCCATGTGCCACTTTCAGGTCTCCTCACACTGCTGGTGTGTTCCATTTTTTGTCATAGGGTGCTGGCAGATTACGGGCCTCCCATAGCTGCTGCCAGGCCCCTAATCTGCCATGGGCCCCTATACCGCCTCCTCATGCTGCTGCCAGGTCCAGAGTCTCTCATGGGTCCCTGTACGGCCTCCCATTGCTGCTGTCTCCATCGCCACACTCTGCCATGTGCCACTTTCAGGTCTCCTCACACTGCTGGTGGGTTCCATTTTTTGTCATAGGGTGCTGGCAGATTACGGGCCTCCCATAGCTGCTGCCAGGCCCCTAATCTGCCATGGGCCCCCGTACTGACTCCTCATGCTGCTGCCAGGCCCGTAATCTGTCATGGGCCCCTGTTGTCGCTTGTTGGCATATTCCGCTCGTTCAGATGCTCCTTCTCCTGCTACTCCTCTTCACGGATTCCGTCAGCAGTCTTTCTTGGAATCCGTTTCCAAGAGACAACAGTTTGCGAGCACGCACCCGACGGTGCAGAAGCTGAATGTCCTCCTGTCCAAGTTGCTGCTGCCAGGCTCGTAATCTGTCATGCGCCCCTGTACCGCCTCCTCATGCTGCTGCCAGGTCCAGAGTGTGTCATGGGCCCCCGTACCGACTCCTCATGCTGCTGCCAGGCCCGTAATCTCTCATGGGCCCCTGTACCACCTCCCCATGCTGCTGCCAGGTCCGGAGTGTGTCATGGGTCCCTGTACGGCCTCCCATTGCTGCTGCCAGGCCCGTAATCTGCCATGGGCCCCCGTACCGACTCCTCATGCTGCTGCCAGGCCCGTAATCTGTCATGGGCCCCTGTACCGCCTCCTCATGCTGCTGCCAGGTCCAGAGTGTGTCATGGGTCCCTGTACGGCCTCCCATTGCTGCTGTCTCTATCGCCACACTCTGCCATGTGCCACTTTCAGGTCTCCTCACACTGCTGGTGGTTTCCATTTTTGTCATAGGGTGCTGTATGGCCTCCCATTGCTGCTGCCTCCACCGCCACACTGTGGCTCCACACTCTGGTTTTGGCCCCGTGACTGCCCAAATGAGTGAAGTGTGCAGTGATTCTAAGATCGACGGCACTCATCTGCATGTCATACTGACTGACAGTATTATTTCTCTTCCCCAGCAGACTCCAAGGGCATTTAAATTAAAGGTACAGTGTTCTGCACTAATATTAAGTCTCTCTGAAGCCTAGAAACACCCTTTTTTAAGTTAAATTCACAGCGAATATATTCGACTCGAATCGAAATTTTTCCACGAATTCGTCGAATCAGTCGAATCGAATTTTTGAATACTTCGCTCATCTCTAGCGGTGATCAGAGACACTGACTGGTGCTAGTATGTAAAGAAAATTAAAATAATAATTTAATTTGTTTTTTTCAAATGTTTCTATTATTTTTTATTTTTTATTACATTATTATTTCTTTTTTTTACAGTTTTTTTCAACACACTGTGACCAAAGCATAGTAACATTGAACTACTCTGGGCAAGTGATCAGGATTTTTTCAACACATTATGATTGCTAATACCAGTGTATTTCATTGATATTTGCAATCATTGTTACTGAATGAAATGGATTTATTCAGTCTTTTGTTGTGATTAGCTGTGATTGGGCAATGCTCATCACATGATACAGATGGGCTGTGATTGGCCCTGTCTGTATCATGTGACTGCTTTGACTAATCACAGCTAACATAATTGTATACAATGGATGGCATGACAGGAATCCATCCATTGTATACAATTGACATGTGATCTGCTGTGATTGGTCACAGCGGTCACATGACACTGGCAACAGGCCGGTGTAGTGGTATGTCATCATGACAGGTCGCGCCACTACACAGCCCCGCGGCCGCATGAGTGGCTCGTTTTGTCAGGACATCATATGACGCCCAGTCACAACAAGGAGTGTCCTGCCCTGCCATCAATCTGCTATAGGCCGGGCGGGAAGGTGTTAACTAACATTTACGTGGTCATGCAACACTAACAAATTAAATGTATGTCTTTTTTTTCCACAAAAATTGAGCTTTCTTTTGGTGGTAGTTGATTGCCTATGCTTTTTTTATTTTTTGCGCTATAAACAAAAAAAGACCAACAAATTTTGAGAAAAAAAAAACAACAATATTTTGACTTTTTGCTATTAAATATGTCCAGTAAAAAGTAAAAAAATCTAAAAAAATCAAATTTCATCATAAATTTAGGCCAAAATGTATTCTGTTACATGTTACGTCTTTGCTAAATAAAATCCCAATATGTGAAAATGAAGTGGTTTACGTGAAAGTTATAGCATTTACAAATGGTGGTATATATACTGGAATTTAGAAAAAAATAAAAAGTTCTACTAGTAATGGCGGCGATCAGCAACTTATAGCGGGTCTGCGGGACTGCGGCGGGCATTCTGACACTGGTGGGAACTGACTTGGTGTCACTGACATCCCCAGTGACACCAATACAGTGGTCAGTGCTAATAAAAAGCACTGACATTGTACTAATGGCACTGGGCAGGAAGGGGTTAACATCTGGGGTGATCAAAGGGCTAATTGTGTGCTGTGTGTGTTTTACTAAGTGTGATGTGCTGTGTTTCACTGTAAGCACACTGCTTTGTATGGCTATGCTATGCAGATCCATACAAACCAGTGTCCAGGAGCTGTCAGGGGAGAGATCTGCGTTGTTTATACACAGGTCTCTCCCCTTTTGGTAATTCTCGGAGATCGCCAGGTGCCGGTGGGGAATCGCTGGCCGGGACCTGATGATTGACAACCGAGGCCAGAAATGGCGGTGCGCTCCCCCCCTTACCAGAACTGCAAAATCATGCATATATACGTGATTTTGCGCACCCGTGCTGCCCTGTAACAGTATTTCTGCTATAGGGCGACCCGGAAGCAGTTAAAAATGACAGGCAGGTCTAAAGGGAGAGACAGAGTGGCTGACAATGCCTTCCTCTTTTTCCTCATCCTAGAAGCAGAGCAGTCAGGTCTCTGCAACTTCTGCTAATGTTCCTCTTCTTCCTCCTCTGCTTTTAATCTTGCCATAACCGCACAAACTGATATTTAGTTAAGTTATATTCTTTTGAAGCTTACTTCCAAGAGGGCTCCAGCCATGAGGTGGGGGGGGGGGATGATTAGGTGGCAGACCATTTGTGAGTGTCACTGTTTAAAGAGGAGGAAAATCCTGAGGGAAAGGAGGAACATCAGAGAGGTAGGTTTGTGTCCAGAGGCAGCTTACAGAGGGCTGGGGAGTGCAGCCATCTAATCCTTCTGCAAGCCCTACCCCAGAGGTCATGGCCACTGCTATTCCTAATTCTGCAGCTTGGGCCTTTTTAAAGATATCAGCTGCCAAAAGCATCATTGTGAGTTACATATCAATTATGGCAAAATTACCAGCCATTTGGTTACCACATGCATGGTGGACCACATGGACCACAGAGGTAATTGGAAACAGCACCTCAATGGAACAAGTTCAACAGTAAAAGATCCACAGCCCTCCTTGTTCCCCACTTTTTTGCATCACCTGCATCTCCAAAAACCTCTCCTGCTGCATCAGCTACACAACTCCATCACAAACAGCAACATGGGATCCCTACCTCCCTCTTGTGCAGGGTTTGCCAACTGTTTGTAATTGTATGGACAGTTTGCAAAAATCAGGGATTTTTACAACTTCCTGTAAATATTCTGTCTGTAAAAATTGGGTCTTTTTTCAGGCAGAGCACACCTTCACCAAAATACAATGGGGGCTAGCTAGGCAGGTGGCCGCAGAAGGAGCAGGCATCCATATTTGCTGATATTGTTCTTCTAGTTCCAGCTGAAGCCCGGTCACAGCGGGCAGAGTAATATTGTCCTCTGCCTCCCCACTGGCACTGGTACAGCTTCACTTCCACTGGGGCTCACACTGCAGCCAAGGCTCCACCTCTGAGCACACCATCAATGGGCAGAAATTCCCTGGATTACAGTGATCTACCTCTTAATATCAGGTAGGGATCCCATGTTGCTGTTTGTGATGGAGTTGTGTAGTGTAGCAGTGCCATCCTTGATGTATACTGTCACACCTCTGAATGTTTTCTGTACTTAAACTATACAAGGGGATCCTGGGCACAAGTGATCATCCTTTTGATCTATGAGATCACTGCCCCAGTCCCTTCTGATCTATGGGATCCATGCCCCAATACCTTCTGACCTGTGGGATCACTGCCCTGTACCCCTGATTTGTGGGATTACAGCCCCTATACCCCCTTTATCTATGTGAATGGAATCACAGCTCTGCACTCTCCTATCTGTGAGATTACTGCTTCTGCACTGTGTGATCTATAAGATCCCATTCTCTGTGCCCCCTGATGTATAGGATATGACCAGGGGCGGACTGACAACTCATGGGGCCCCCAGGCAATAGGGGATCATGGGGCCCCTGTGTCCTTGCCCAAACTCAAAAAAGCCTATGAAAAAGGTACCAGGGGCATCTCATGGGGCCCCCTACTGACCCTGGGCCCTCGGGCAGTGCCTGAGTTTCCAAATGGTCAGTCCGCCCCTGGATATGACTACCCCAGACCTTTATGATGCATGGAATCACAGCCTCTGCCTCACCTTATCTGCGGGGTTACATCTGTACTCTCTATTCTATGGGATCACCACCCAGTATCCTGGCATCTATGTGATCCATGCCCCAGTCTCTTTAGATCTCTGTGGACGCAGTTCTGTATGCCCTTTATTTATGGTATTACAGCATTTGCACCCCCTGATCTGTAGACTTACTGCCGAACTTGTGTTTCAACTGTCACGCTGTGTTGACCTTTTAAGTGTGAACCAGGCAAATTGCTGGTTATGTGTATTGGCAATGTTTCCACATGTGTTTATACTGTTTAAATACCCATTGTCTTAACCTTTAAGAGGTGTTCTGTAATTTTTCCGGTTATTAGTAAAAAATTGTTCCATCATTAAATTTGTCATGTTTTATAAGTAAAATAATTGCGGTAGGTTGGCAACCTTGCTCTGGCGACAAAGAAGGAAGTCTCACATGAGGCTTACAATATGCCACTTTAAGCAGAGAAGAAAGTTTTTTGGGCCACACTGAGGAGGGTCAAGCAATCCTATCCAGAATTCTTCACCACTCTCTCCAGCTGCATACTTCTTCAAGTAGGTTTCTCTTCTACATCTGCTGAAGTGGAACAAAAAATTGCCTCCAAATCTCTACCAATCTCTACTAATATCAGCTTGGCAAAACTTCTGGATTTTCAGCTGTTCCCATTCCAGCTAATGAAATCATCCCTCTTCCATGAGTTTATTGCCTGTATCACACAGGTGCCCATCTGCCCACAACACCATTTCTGCCATCCACCGTCATGTGGAATGTGTTGGTTTTCTTGGACAACATTGTCATTGACAGAGAACACAAGACTATGCACATGTGCTCCAGTAGCCATGGGCAGGGACCCTACTTATCCTTCATGACACTCTGGGTCAATCATCTGGCAGCTGGGAGGGATGTAGGACAGAACACACTACTGGAAATGGTGGTGCCCATACAGTTTTTGATGATAACAGTACAGTACCCCCTCCTCTTACCTGATCTCCTTGGAACCAACAGTTTCCCACCTCCCTCATAGTGCCCTAGTGAATATACAATATCCCAGAATAAATGGGGCCAGGCTGTGCTGCTCATGTGCCTGGGGGTCAGGGACAGGAGCCACTGGCAGCTTTTCTGATCCAGGGTGAGAGATGGCTATGCCCAGGCAAAATTCACAGATTGCACCTTGTCTGGCACATGTCTTCAGCTTGTAGTGCATCAGTTCAATATGAAACTCAGTGCTGGCCATGCTGCAGAGACTGCACAAGCTGCAACATGCCCTCAATGAATATCTGTGTGATTATGGTGGAAAGACAGGCTCTGGGGAGCTGGGATTCATTTCACATAATCAGTGACCCATCATTCAGGATGCATGCAGCATTTTTGCACATTTTGAAGAGGTGGCCAATGGGGAGCCACAAGAGGCAGGGATTGGTGATCCCTCTTGTGTTTCTCCTGGAGCACATACCCTGTTCTCTGACTGGGCACTGGAGCCACAGTAGCAGGAGGAAGAGGAGGAGCACTTGCTGCTGTTTCAGGGCCATCAGGATCCTTTGCCTACTGTCTTCACCCTTTGAGGCAGAAGCAGCAAGAGGCAGAAGAGGAATACAAGGAGGAGGATGGTTGGGGTGCTAGCAATGAAAAGAAATGGGAATGGCTTCAGTAGGGATGTTTTGCTTCTCCCAAACCTCAAGAGCTGGATGTGGTTGGGATGAGATTGTTGAGGACAGTGTTGCAACATTGAGGGCTTGGGGTCCTCTATCTCCAGGCGATTTGTGGCAGATCGGGTCTTTTTGCTTAAATGCCTACACAAGGACCCCAGGATTCAGGGAACCAAAAAATGGGCCACCTTACTGCATCCCCAATCCAAATGGCAGATCTACTGTCACCATACCAAAGGGAGCTCACAGTTCAGCACTTTGAGGAGGCACTGGCTAAGAACTTCTTTGCCATATTTACTTATGGAGGAAGGATCTCTGCCCAAGGTGTCTCTGATCTTGTAATTCATGAAATGAGAAGCAATGGTTGTGGGGGCTGCCTCAGCACCAATTTTAAGAGGCCGTTTTTCTAACTACAGTGGCCAGCACCTGAACCACAGGATTGCTGACTACTTCAGCTGCAACACTGATGCAGACACTTTCAGGAGTGAGGAACCCATAGGCTATTGGTTGTCCAGGCTGGGTTACTGGCAAGAGCTTCAATTACCTTCTCTTTGTGTTATTACTAATACGAGAGAGAGACCAGTATTGGCTCTACTGACTACCTCTTACCCACTGTATGCAAACATTGGTAGGCAAATCACTATTCTAAAGCGCTGGAACTCTGATCAGTAATTTGGAAATGCAGTCTGCTCTGTACGCACAGTGATTTACTGTATCTAAACATGGAAATTCAAAGAGACCATGATGGACTTTCAGCAGCCTCAAATTTTAGGGGTGCATTAAAAGGGACTCTGCAACAAACCAAGGCACCTGTGTGAATTGACATTAATGGAGACAACCCCTCCCTGACTCAAATGTCACATATTAGTTCTAAGGCATTAATTTAATGAATGATGGGCTGATGGAAATATGGCATGGCATGTGTATGGGGTGACCTATTAGCCAAATGGTATATATGTCTAGGGGGAGGTTATTGGCCATTTCTGTCGAATAGGTAGCAAAAGGGATGGGGATTAGTAAATATATACTCCTTTTAGTCTCCTGGCAAAGTCCTTTTTTTTGTTTTATTACAGCTTTATTGGCAGGGTTTTATCTAGCCAGCGATTGATTCGTATTTAATTTATGCCCTGTGGGGCCTATGGTAAATCTCTCGCATTCAGGTAGGGTTATCACAGTTCAGTGTTCACAGTTTATGATTGTCAAGGGGTTTGTTCAAATGTTAATTTTGTTGTTGTCTGCTATGATGGAATGTGACTTTGCCATCCTAGCATAATTATATTTTGCGTTTTTATTGGGTGAAAAGATACATTATATTGTTCTTCTCAAATATGTTTCTCAGCAGCCATGAGCTTGGCGTCATTGCCCATGAATTTGTATGCAGCTAGTGAGTTAGAAAATGACTGCTTCCATCACTGACTTATTACATGTTTTTTTTCAAGAGTCCATTTAAGTATTTTTAAATTTCTTAACCACTTACCCTCCAGAGGATTTACCCCCCTTCCTGACCAGGCCATTTTTTACAGTATGGCGCTTTGTTACTTTAACTGACAATTGCGCGGTCATGCAATGCTGCACCAAAATGAAATTTGCGTCCTTTTTCCGGATGAATAGTGCTTTTTTTTGGTGGTATTTGATCACCTGTGTGATTTTTATTTTTTGTGCTATAAAAATTGTTTTTTTTTTTGAGAAAATAAACAATATTTTTGACTTTTTGCTATTAAACAAAATGTATTCTGCTGCAGGTCTTTGCTAAAAAAAAAAAAAATTACAATACGAGTCAATTAATTGGTTTACGTGAAAGTTATAGTGTTTACAAATGGCGGTATATATACTGGGTTTTTTTTTTTTTTTAAATTTTTACTAGTAATGGCGGTAATCAGCGACTTATAGCGGGACTGCGGGACTGCGGCGGGCATTCTGACACTGGGAAGAACTGATTTGGTGTCAATGACATATCCAATGACACCAATACAGTGAACAGTGCTAATAAAACACACTGATAGTGTACTAATGGCACTGGGAAAGAAGGGGTTAACATCTGGGAAACTCAAGGATTTAACTGTGTGCTGTGTGCGGTTTTACTGTGTGTTTGCTTCACTGTAAGCACACTGCTATGCATGGCTCTGCTATGTAAAGCCATGCATAGCAGTGTGCAGGAGCTGACAGGGGAGAGAGCTGTATTGTTTACTTACAGTTCTCTCCCTCTGTCGGTAATGCTCCTCAATCACCGAATGCCGGTGAGTAATCACCGGTCGGGACCCGGTGATTGACAGCCGAGGCCGCGAATAACAGGGCAGCTAGGGCGCGTGAGGGGCTCATGCGCGCCCCCTACCCGGAGATGCAAAATCATGTATATGTATGTGATTTTGCACACCCACGCTGCCCTGTAGCAGTGTTACTGCTATAGGGTGGATGCGAAGCGGTTAATATGTAACATAGTATTATCTGACTGATACAGAGATTCACAGTGCTGTGAAAAAACATTTGCCCCTTCCTGATTTTTAATTTTTTTGCATACTTTTCACACTGAAATGATTCAGATCATCAAACAAATTTTAATATTACACAAAGATAACCCGAGTAAATACAAAATGCAGTTTTTAAAAGATAATTTCATTTATTAAGGGAAAAAAGCGGTCTAAACCGGCCTGACCCAATGTGAAAAATTAACTGTCCCCTAAACCTAAATAACTGATTGTGCCACCTTTGGTGGCAACAACTGCAATCAAGCATTTGTGATAACTGGCACTGAGTTTTTTACATCACTGTGGAGGAATTTTGGAACACTCTTCTTTGCAGAATCGTTTTAATGCAGGTTTTTGAGCTTGAACAGCCTGTTTAAGGTCATGCCACAGCATCTCAATTGTATTTAAGTCTGGACTTTGAAAATATGCCAAAAAAAAATAATAAGGAAGGGGCAAATACTTTTTCACAGCACTGTACAGTATTTGTTATATGGATATCATAGTAATATATGCCTTATATTATTATTAGTATAGCTTATATTTTTTATGACAATTTCGTGAGGCATCATAATTCACAGAATGATCTGCGCCAACTACACTATACTTTATATATACAGCCATGTTTTGTTTCTTTATATAACTTGTTTTGAAATCAATATAACTGAATGCTTTGGAGGGTGCCCAATTTCATAGCAATTCCTGTATTGCCAGCTATTTGCAAGGAACTTCCTTGCTTTCATTTCCGCTGCTATATTATATGAATGATTTTCAGACAATACTAATTACACAGCACCAGCTCTTGTTTATTTGCATGCTCACTAGGCTCTGTTGGCAGTGATTGCAAAAACAGTACACATCTATACTTCTAACAGCTAGTTTAGGTGACAATCAGAGCTGACTGTGAAGTGTTTGATTCTGTTTTATCCCACCAGGATAATTAAAACAGAATTACTGAGGCTTATTGGAAAAGAAGAATATTTGCTTGAATTCACTTTATCTTGATGTGCCTCCAGAAAGAAAATGTACCCTGTAGTGATTGCAACCAGGATTTCAATTGCAAAAGAATATTCATTCTGGATTGTTTTGAAAATACAGTGACATTGTAAGACAGCATTTGTAAGTATGTTTAAAATTTTTAGAAGGTAAATGGGTATTCTGTGCACCACCAACATGTGTTTTGTCTAATGACTGTGCAAAAGAGGTTCTCCCTTTTAAATGAGAAATTGCCTTCTATAGACTCTTCTGTAGAGTATTTCAATCTCCAACATCCTGGTAGTCTCAGTGCTATTGGAGCATTGTTAGAAGACCGATAGTATACTTACAAATTGTTGGGCAGAAATAGAAATCAGTCTGCTGGGTTCAAGATGCACAGCAGCCTGGGCTACCCATATGGAAGAAAAATATATTTGAAATATATTTTAAAAATATTCTTCCCAAATATATTGACATATATTTGAAATGCTACATTTTGGCCATATTCAACATATTTAAAAAAAAAAAAAAAAAAAAAATACATACTCTCCTGTTGAAATGCGTTTTTTCTATATTACAAAATGTATTTTTTTTAAATATAATCTTCTGATTTTTTTTAACAAATAAAAAAGTCATTATGACATATATTTTTACATTAGTGGTGTGAACCTCCGGCGCTCCCAAGTGTTTAAACTAAATGAAAAATATATATAAATCCCAGGGGAAGCTGCTAACATTAAATCATATACCAGTGATTGTGATAAATAAATACAATAAAGAATGTAGCGCTACACCCAAAAGATATATACACACTTAAAAAAAATAATATAAAGAAAAAATGTGAAATCACAAAATCTCATAAAAAATATATATATATAAATGTGACAGTGATATCAATTAATATTAATTAGTGCCCATAAATCATAAAATCCACACAATAAAATAAATTGCTCAAAACATGTGAAAAAACATTTCCATATATATATGTATATATCACGCATACATATATATATAATTATAATCACACGTGCCTCTTGTGAAGTGAAATGACCATTAAAATGGTACAAACAACAGTGCTCTCAAAGTCCAATAAATGTTGCTGGTGACCGAAGAAAAAACAGTGCTTCCAATAACTACTGTTAGTGACCATAGGCAAAACTCGTGCAGATCTCTGAGTGCATATAAATCTGAAAATCCGACCACCATCTGGATAAGCCTCTCACCTCATCACTTCGACCCTTGCGGATCAAAGAGCAGTTGTGGATCCCCCTCACGGATCCTCCAAGAAAACTATCACTCCAAAGGTTGCTCTCTCAGAAATAAATATTCCCACTCTGGCTCTTCTCCAGGAAAGTATTGCAGCATCAATCTCTCAAATGAGACAAAATGAATCCTCCCATAGTGCAGTATATTTTATTTGTAACATAGGGACAGATAACATTAAGCTTTTTCACTTACGTAGCAGCCAGTCCAAAACCTCGTGCTTTTGGATGAGGGTATGTATGTATGGGTGTACAGCTGAATACAGAGGTGTACCAAGATGGCCGCCACGCCGGAAATACGTCACCACGTCAAGCCGACGCGTTGCGTCACAATGTCATGTGACTTCCTCAGGGCTGTCAAATCTGCACGAGTTTTGCCTATGGTCACTAACAGTAGTTATTGGAAGCACTGTTTTTTTCTTCGGTCACCAGCAACATTTATTGGACTTTGAGAGCACTGTTGTTTGTACCATTTTAATGGTCATTTCACTTCACAAGAGGCACGTGTGATTATAATTATATATATATGTATGCGTGATATATACATATATATATGGAAATGTTTTTTCACATGTTTTGAGCAATTTATTTTATTGTGTGGATTTTATGATTTATGGGCACTAATTAATATTAATTGATATCACTGTCACATTTATATATATATATTTTTTTTATGAGATTTTGTGATTTCACATTTTTTTTCTTTATATTATTTTTTAAGTGTGTATATATATTTTGGGTGTGGCGCTACATTTTTTATTGTATTTATATATTTTTACATATATTTGTAAATGCATTCCAAAAATATAAATTTGCATTTTTAAAGACATACTGTATATTTGAAATTTATTTTTCTAAATATTTTGTAATAAAAATGCATTTCAACATGCAATATATATATATATATACATATATATATATATATATATTATATATACCGTATTTTTTGCTCCATAAGACGCACTTTTTTCCCCCCAAAAAAGGGGGGAAAATGTCAGTGCGTCTTATGGAGCGAATATAAAGCGTCCGGTCCGGTATTTTTGCGGCCACCATGTCAGAATACCGGGCCGGCCGCTCAGCTGTTGTCTCCTGCAGGGCCTTACCTGTTCCTCGCTCCAGCGCTGCACAGTCTTCCCGCGCTGGCTTCTGTGACAGCCGGGTGCCCACTGAGCATGTGCTGCGCTTTGTGAATGATCCGGTGTCTTCTGGGACACATGACAGGTCCCAGAAGGCGCCGGGCCATTCACAAAGCGCAGCGCTTCTCAAGCATGCGCAGTGGGCACCCAGCTGTCACAGAAGCCGGCCCGGGAAGAAGAGGTAAGGGCAACTCCGCGGAAGTGGGAGCGGGTACCTGTTAAATTCAGGTACCCGCTCCCCCTCCCTCCCCAAAGGTCAGCAGTCTCTGGTCATTCCCTGCACTGTTTGCAGTCTCTGGTCATTCCCTGCACTGTCTGCAGTCTCTGGTCATTCTCTGCACTGTCTGCAGTCTCTGGTCATTCCCTGCACTGTCTGCAGTCTCTGGTCATCCCCTGCACTGTGTCCGCAGTCTCTGGTCATCCCCTGCACTGTGTCCGCAGTCTCTGACCATCTCCTGTACTATGTCTGCAGTCTCTGGTCATCCCCAGTACTGTTTCCGCAGTCTCTGACCATCTCCTGTACTATGTCCGCAGTCTCTGGTCATCTCCTGTACTGTGTCCGCAGTCTCTGGTCATCTCCTGCACTGTGTCCGCAGTCTCTGGTCATCTCCTGCACTGTGTCCGCAGTCTCTGGTCATCTCCTGCACTGTGTCCGCAGTCTCTGGTCATCTCCTGCACTGTGTCCGCAGTCTCTGGTCATCTCCTGCACTGTGTCCGCAGTCTCTGGTCATCTCCTGCACTGTGTCCGCAGTCTCTGGTCATCTCCTGCACTGTGTCCGCAGTCTCTGGTCATCTCCTGCACTGTGTCCGCAGTCTCTGGTCATCCCCTGCACTGTGTCCGCAGTCTCTGGTCATCCCCTGCTCTGTGTCCGCAGTCTCTGGTCATCTCCTGTACTGTGTCCGCAGTCTCTGGTCATCTCCTGTACTGTGTCTGCAGTCCATTGGTTCAGAATATTTTTTTTTCTTGTTTTTCGCCTCTAAAACCTAGGTGCGTCTTATGGTCAGGTGCGTCTTATGGAGCGAAAAATACGGTATATAAAATTGAAGCATTTCAAATATATGTCAATATATTTGGGAAAAATATTTTAAAAATATATTTCAAATATATTTTCTTCCATATGGGTAAAGCCAATGTCCATATAATTAGACATGAGCGAATTATTCAAAAATTCGAATCGGCTGATTCGGCGAATTCGCGGAATAAATTCGATTCGAGTCCAATATATTCGCTGCGAATTTAACTTATAAAAAGGGTGTTTCTAGGCTTCAGAGAGCCTTTATATTAGTGCAGAACACTGTACCTTTAATTTAAATGCCCTTGGAGTCTGCTGGGGAAGAGAAATAATACTGTCAGTCAGTATGACATGCAGATGAGTGCCGTCGATCTTAGAATCACCGCACACTTCACTCATTTGGGCAGTCACGGGGCCAAAACCAGAGTGTGGAGCCACAGTGTGGCGGTGGAGGCAGCAGCAATGGGAGGCCATACAGCACCCTATGACAAAATGGAACCCA